CTCGGTTTTTTCGGGTTTGGTTTGAAAATCTTGCACAGTGCTGGCAAGAGTCAGGTCTGTGAGTCTCTCCCAAACACAAAATACAGAGGGTGTGGTGGTCAGGCGGTGCGAGTTTACTACCGCAACGTTGACACCGGTTAAAAAAGCCCCACCTTTTCTCCATAGAATAAGAAAGTAGTGGAGAAAGAAGGGGGAGGGGGGGTAGAGCCCAAAGGCCAAGCTGAGGTAAATGGAAGTTTCCCCTCTCAAGAAAAATAAAGTCTTTTTTTAAAAAAAATTGTGTAGGTAACAAAGAAGTAACACAAAAAAGATAGAAAAGCGAGGAAAAATCCAAATAGCCAAAAATAGCGAACCGATCAGACCGACGGAGAAAAGGTCTTTCCGGCGTGGCGGTAAGAAAGGAACTGGCGGAATGTCCGCACCCTCCCCTCTGGGCATGCATGGTGGGGTTCCTGCACATGACCAAGGTCTGGGCGCGAAAATCCGTTAAAGAGCTTGCTACAGCACCGATCGATTCAGCACGTGCGCACTAGATCCCATGGGTGTGAAGCACAGAGACCACATCGAAGATCATGTAGCTGACCGAACTAGACAATCTCTTGCATGAAATGTGAATAAAATGGCATATTTTTCAGAGGAAACTAAGCAGGGATTGTTCCCAGACTCCTCCATCGATGACATTTTTAAGAATCCCAAAGGGATTTTTTTTTCTTGTTTGATTTCTACGGCATCCAGACACTGGAACAGCTCTGACGAACTGCGATGCATCTCCTATGCAGTCATCAGGTAAAAGTCAACATGCAGAGCTCGCAACCAGTCCTACCTCTTTAGTTCAACCCCTCCCTTCTATAACCAGGTCAGACTTCCATGCATTCAGTGTTGTGGCCCAATTATGTCTGGCCATGCCATGATACTGGGCACTGGTGCTTAGAAAGTGCACCTCGCCCAACTAACAAAAAGTTATTAACATTTAAATTGTATATTACTAATCATAACATAACTAGTTACGGTAATCATTTATCTCGTTACTTAGTGTAAATAGGGCAAAAATGCATTTCTGTAGTCTCCCTTTACAGCCAGGATTGTTTTTTGGTTCATGCCTTTTGACATTTAAAAGAGGCAGAGAGTTCCCGCTGAATCTCCAAGACACAAGGATCCAGAGTTGCCATTACTTTAAAATAAACTTTTACATGCACTCCTCTGACTCTGTACAGTATCCTGGCATTCCAGTGCAATTGTATTATTGTATATAGACAAAATTTGCCTTTCAGATCTTCTGGGTAATCACACATCGGGACTGAACAGGCCAAATATGTGCTTATGTAATAGACACTCAATGTAACTGTTGAATTCAAACCTTGTTTGACAAAAACTTGTAGCTAGTTTGTATTGAAACAGTCAGTTCTGAGAGTCCACCCAGTGAATGAGAGACCTTGGGGATTTTTTTAAAAAGAGAACTTGAGTAGGCCTGGGATGGAGGGGGGGAGAGAGATCGAGAGATCACTGTAGAACTTCCTGCTGGGGTTTCTTGGATTAATAAGACTTTTCAATAAAAACATCTCCCAGATTTGCCCTGACCTGGATAGCCCAGGCAAGCCTGATCTTGTTAGACCTTGGAGGCTAAGCAGGGCAGGTGTTTGGATGGGAGACCTCCAAGGAATAACAGGGCTGGGACGCAGAGGCTGACTGCTGAGCATTCGGTTTAGAATGGATAAAAGGAAGTCCTTCTTCACCCAAAGAGTGATTAACACGTGGGATTCACTGCCACAGGAGGTGGTGGCGGCTACAAGCATGGACGGCTTCAAGAGGGAATTAGATAAGCATATGGAGCAGGGGTCCATCAGTGGCTATTAGCCACAAGGTATGGATAGGAACTCTCAGTCTGGGGCAAGTGATGCTCTGTATTCTTGGTGCTTGGGGGGGGGGCAACAGTGGGAGGGCTTCTAGTGTCCTGGCCCCATTGCTGGACCTCCTGATGGCACTGGGTATTTTTGGCCACTGTGTGACACAGTGGGTGCATTCAGACGGGGCGTTTCAGCCGGCATAAACTGTACAGGTTGGAACCGTTGCAGTTTATGCTGGCTGAAACGTGATCACACTTACCTCCTGTCTGCGGAGCCCATCGCTGTATGCCCGTCCACACACAGCGGGCGTTGGCGGTTTTTTTTTTTTAACTCAGTTTGTGCATGCGCATAGGCAGCCATCCACAGAATGGCGATCTTCACGCATGCGCAAAACACCCCGTCCAGAAAAGCATGCCCTGAAGAGAGGACTTACCTTTAAAGTGTAAAGACCAAACTGGCCTCCCTGAGGTCCCGGACTCCTCTAAAACGTTAAACTAAGGACCTTTTCTTTTCTTTTTTAAACAAACGCCCAGGTGAAGCTTCGCCCAAGTGCATATCGCTGACCTAAAAAAAAAAAAAGCAGGCGAAAAGCGGAAGCCTCGGTCTTCTGAACGGAAGTGGCTCTACAACGATGGAGAGCGATCAGATGGGGGGGGGGTAAAGCGATTACAACCGTTGCACTCAGGATACCACCACTTGGGGACATAGTGACAGAATACAACGGTTTAAAGCTCTTTGCAACGGTTAGGGACGGAAGGCAGATGTTCACCGTGTGAACGCCGGTAAGTACACCGATTCCAACCGGCACCTATACCGTTGTAAATGCCCCGTCTGAACGCACCCAGAGTGTTAGACTGGATGGGCCATTGGCCTGATCCAACACTGGCTTCTCTTATGTTCTTATCAAGCCACCTCTCGGAAACATCCTAGCTCCACTAGGGATCACCAGAAGTCTCCATGATTTCCAGGCTTGCAAGCATGCACGCTCACACAAACACACACACACACAAATAGTCAACACAAGAAAAAAACCCAGATTTTATTTCTTTTGGGGTTCAGAGGCTGTTGGATGAGGAAGACGTATGTTTCCTGTACAGCCAAAGATTCCAGGAAAGACACCAACCCTAACTGTGGGAGTCCTTTGAGTTTAATAATATCCAACGGAGACCCCTTTAAAACCTGCAAGGGACTTCTCATTTGCGCAAGAGACTTGCGAGAAATCAGTTTTTTTGAGGGCTTGGATTGCAATGACCAAATATATGGCAAAGGTTAGGGTTTTTAAAAACGTTCTTCACCTGTTACTGTCTCTGTCGCATGTAAATGACAATTACCTTATCTCAGCCAGAAATTGTACAACAACAAACTCACGGGCCTTACTTAACCGGTTTGGCAGCTGTCTCTACCTGGCAAGTGGGTTGGTGTGCTGCCACTTGACTGTGTGGGCTGGTCAGTTTCACTTCTGTCGCAGCAGTTCTGCTTGTTTGGAAAGTCTGCCGTTTGAGTGGGGGAATAATCCCGGGCTGCTGCACAGGCACAATGCACCATGTCCTAGCTGCCAAGTGGGACGATTTAAACCTGCTTCCACCCATGACAGACGTCGTATATAAAAAGGCCTTAGAAGATGCCTTTTTAAAAACTACTAGTGACTGCCTCACCTGCAGGTTAAAGAGAATCCGTGTTCTCGGTCAAGGGTGTGACTCCAAGGATCTCTCAATTTAGGAGTTTAGCACCGCTTTGCCGACTGACATAACTGTAGAGAGAACAGCTGCCGAGAACAGCCTTTTTCCAGCACCTCAGGAGAAAGAGAGCTATCTTAAGCTCTGTGGAAAACTGTATTAAACATCTGGCCATCCTTGGAAAAAGAAAGTTCTAGGTCAGATTTCAAAACTAAGAGCCTTGGTGCAAATTGTGTTGTAAGCCGCCCTGAGCCTGCTCCTGTGATAGGGTGGGGTATAAATAAATAAATATTTTTAAAATCGAATTTCAGTTAGGCCTGATATTTGAATGTTATAAGAAGGATCTTTTTCAGAGGTTAGGCATCTCTAGTTTTTCATGTGATGGGGCTCCAAAGGTTTTTGATCTGCTACAGCACAATGCTCTCTTACTTCAATCTGTTCTTTATACATCTGGGATTAAGGATCAGGCTTCTGAAATATAAGGTAAAGGTTTCCCTTTTTCGAAAGCCAGTCAAATCCGACTCTAGTGGGCAGTGCTCATCTCCGTTTCCAAGCCAAAGAGCCAGCGCTGTCCAAAGATGTTTCTGTGGTCATGTGGCTGGCATGACTAAACACCGAGGCACATAGAACGCTGTTACCTTCCCACCGAAGCGGTTCCTATTTATCTACTTGCAGTTTCTGGCTTTCAAACTGCTAGGTTGGCAGGAGCTGGGACCAGAGACGGGAGCTCACTCCATCATGCGGCACTCGGGTCTCAAACTGCTGAACTACCAGTCTTCAGTTCAGCATCTTACCCTCTGAGCCACCACAGCCCCTTTCTGAAATATACAGAGAGGCTTTTCCATCCTAGGTTGGGAAATCTGCAAATTAAAGTCTGGCTGTGCTATCGTATATTCTCTGACGGATGATGGGGATGTTTTAAAAAATAAAGACTGTTCCAAAGGGGTTGCTACCAAGTTAACCCTCAGCCCATTGGCTGTCCCTTAAAAGAAAGGGCACTTTCTAATCCATATTAGCCCTGAAGTCCATCAGGTTAGCATGCTGATAATGCCATCAGATACATGTTGGAAGGCCAGAAATAGAAGATGAAAGTCACAGCCTTCCCTAGGAACTGATAATCTGGGGGTATACTGCCTCTGAGCATGGAGGTTCCATCCAGCCATTAGGGATAATTAGACCCACTATTGGCATGGGAACCTTCCTGAAACGCCACAGAGATGCCTCAGTCCCGGATGTTCCCCCCCCAGTCTTCATCATTGCCTTTTTTGATCTATCAAGCTTTGGAGAGACCGAGCGGATCCATTCGTTATCAAACTACAACTCCCAGAATGCTGCGGGGGGGACCCCGGAATATGACTACAGAACCGGACATCTCGTCATTCCTCGTCGGGCTCATTCATTCGCTCTTGGGCGGCAGGATTTAGAAACGAGGCGGAGAAGAGCATCTCGCCCCGACAGAAGAAATTTGAACCTGCGGGCTCGCCGTCCTCGAAGCGTCGGCCATCTTGTGTGCGGTTGTGGTAGCGGCGGCGGCTGCGCTTCGCCGGCTCCAGCCTTTCCACACCGTGTCGGAGCGGCCGCTGTTGGGTGGGAAGCCGCGCCATGTCTGCGGAAAGCTCGGAGCCCGCTTCTGCGGAGGAGCAGAAGGTCAGCTGGGCGCCCCGGAGAGAGGGAGAGGGCGCCGCCGGGGGGAGGCGGGAGCAACTTAGGCCGCGGCTTCCCTGAGGAGGAGGAGAAGGGGGAGTCCAGGAAAACTTTAGGGAATGGGGGGAGGGGGATCTCGCCCCTCCACACCCACCTTTCCGCGGTGACCTATATACGCACGCAGTAAATAAGCTCGGTTTCTCTGAATGGGAGCGAGGGGTGCCATGTCGTCTGTCTACCCGGAAGCTTGAATCTAGAGAATGGGAGTGAGGGGGCCAGTCTCGTTTTGCATGGAGGAGGAAGGAAGCCGCGGGAGCAGAGTCCTTGAGCCGGGCGGGGTGGAGGGGCTAGGATAGGAATGTGGGTGGGTGTGCGGCGGCGGCAGCCATGGTGTTCAGCCTTTCCTCCTCGTGGAGACAGCGCCGCCGCACACCCACCCACAGGAAGGAAGCGTCTGCCGTCCCGTTGAAATAAGCGCCTTTGCTTTCACCCCTGCTCGTCGTTGAATTGAACTGGACGGCTTGGTGGGCGTGCTTGCTGCCGTCGAGGTCCCAGCCTGCCCGAGCTGTGTAAGCCGCTGTGTAATGTGACATCATCCCTAAATCTTTCTCCCCCCCCCCCAGCAAAATATGGTGTGAGGATTACATGCTGACAACGCATCCAATACCCCAGTTGTGATCGGAGGTGGTGGTTTGACGGCTTAAAAATAATACCTTCGACCCCAGCCCCTTCATCTCAACAGCTTTTAGTCGATTGTCAGAGTCTAGACAGTTTTCCTTTTCACCTAGGAGTTGGTGGGGTTAAGAAGTCTTGGTCCTGACAGGTAATGCACCAGTTTTACACTGCAGCCTGTGTCAGCAGGCAAAAAACTGCGCTGAGCAATGCAATCCTAGGCATGTCTACTCATAAGTAAGCCCTGGTGTGTTGAGCAGGGCTTACTATCAGGTAAGTCTGCACTGAATTGCAGCCAAAGTGCATTGGAGGGCAGCTTTGGGATTTATCAGTGTTCATATCCCTAATACAGATTGGCCTGCAGTGCTAAAACGTCATCATGGGATATGATGTTATGCTGACTCAGGCATTGGTGTAGCTTCCAAATGGGTATTTGCTGTGAATTTTAGGAATATGTCTAAGTTTGCTAGAGTTGAGTGTTGAGAATTCCACTATATGCCGATGGCTCTCTGTTTCTTATCAGTTTTGTGTCATCTGAACAAAAAGTCACTTTAAAGATGGCTCTAGTTATTACCCACGTTCCGAATGGTTCATAACAAATGTCAAGGGAGCTTTCTTGCCGGTAGTTCACTTGAATTCCTTGCAAGGTTGCAGCCTCAGAAGTCCTATAAAACTTAAATTTGGCTACCTCTTTGATGATCCTTCTTTTTTAAAAAAAACAATAAGAGATCAGCTTCAAATGATGAGTTCAAAGTGGAAGTGATACTGACAACAAGCTAAAAAATTCCTCTGTTCTGATGCCACTTTCATTAGCTGAGGGTTAGTTGGTTGAAATTCTTTTGCTCTTTTTTTGTTGGATACATGGCATCTGTCAGTGGCCTGGGTTGAATTTTGGATGGATGCGGCTGTGTAGAGAGGAAAAATGGATGCTGGTGTAAGAAGCATTGTACTTTCTTTTTTATAAGCCCATTTAGCTTGTATCAGCCAACCAGTTGTCTTTGTCTTCCCCCCCCCCCCCCAATTCCTGAAATATCTGACAGTCAGAAAAATATGGTGTATCACGCTTCTGGTGTGGTGTGGCTATGGCAGGAAGGCTGTATTCAGTTTCAGCATGCAGGCCCTTATCTAGGTGTTTTCAGACTTATTTCTTTCTGTCCTACTTTAAATGTAGTAATAGCCTGTAAGAATAAATGGGTATAAAGACTGATGATTCTCTAGTACTGTCTCTTAGCCAGTAAAAGATCACACTGGTGGTTTCACAAGCAGACTCTTGGAAGGCAGAGATGATGTAGTACATGTATTCTTTCTCTTTCAGGAAATGGAGGACAAGGTGATTAGCCCGGAGAAAGCTGAGGAAGCAAAGTTGAAAGCCAGATATCCTCATCTGGGACAAAAGCCTGGGGGCTCGGATTTCTTGAGGAAGAGGCTTCAGAAAGGAGTAAGTGCGCTTGAACTGTGTTGGGCGGCTGAAAGCCTTTTAAATCTGTCAACCTGTATCCTTGCCAGTTCTGTGTGCAAGGTTAGCTTCAATACTAGTACCCCATCCCTAACAGTATTTCCAGAGTATAAAGCCTGTGGATTGTAATTGAACATCAATAAACGTATGCATAGGGTCAAAGCTGCCTTAAGAATAGTGCCTTGAAAGAATTGTTTACACCTTACCAGCAAGAGCTGTGCAAACTCTCCAAAAACAGTCTAGTGTTGCTATTGAAGACAGCTTCAAAGATGTCTCAAGTCTTAAGAAAAGGCAGAATTGTGACAGTAAGTCTGTGGGTTTTTCCCCCAGTGAAATTTATATTACACTAATATTTGTATGTATACCAAGACTGAATTTGGTCCTTGGTACTAATCCTGCTGTGGTTTTAAACTCTTCTTATGGTTTAATAGAACATACTTCTTGGCCTACTTTTTGGGTGGGCAGGGATCATCCAGCTGAAACACTGGAAAGACATGCTCAGGATTAGTGGTCATTTTAAAAATATTTTGTTTATAAGCTATCCTGCTGCCTCTAACAAAATGTAACATCTAAAGCATGTGTTTAAAAATCAGAAATAAGAGAAATACTAAAAAGGCTTTCTGGAATTAAAACCATATAGGTTTCTTTTCCCCAGAAAGGCTAATAAGCCGCACTTGTGTACTGTGGCAGGGAGGTTATTTCTCCACAGCATGCAAATTTATAGGAATAGAATGTTGCTGTGCAGCAGGGCTTTTGCCACAATATAACCTTTTTGAAAGTAGATGGGTAGTGGGAGATTTTTGTACATCTTACACATGAAGATTTAATATCAAAGTTCTGAGCAATAACACTCTCTGACATTTATTCTTTCTGACACTGCCTAATATTGCTGTTCGAATTACTAGTGAACTGACTGCACTAGTGAAAAATGTTCAGTTCAGATACTTTTTGTTAAATAACTCCAAGTTAATCAAGGGTGCCCAAATAGCTGCATTTGCTCATCTGTGTAAATCCTTTAATGCTTTTAAAGGCCTCACATGGTGGTTTATGTAATAAGACCAGCTGCAGAACCAGAAAAGCAAATTCCATGTTAGTCTACTGCAGTACAAACAGTCTTTTAGCAACCTATTGTTCCAGTATAACTACTGAGCTGATTAAGTAGGCGCAGGAGCATAAAAACTCATGCTGGAATAAAAAGGTGCCGGTCTTTCAGTTGCTGCAAAACTGTATTGTGCCAGTTGCTCTTAACCTCAGCACATACTTGTGTGATCTGTTTCTTTGTGATTCTTGGGACATTAGTTTTGCCAGCTTGTATAATTTAAAGCCTTACACAGTAAATGGGGATAGTCTTTCTTACACTTGTTCTGACATGTGGTAAAACCTTTCCATGTGTTGGTTCTCCTCCTTGGATTGCATTAAAGGGGCTGCCTTGAGAGGGAGAGCAGTTATAAACACCATGCTCCTGACAAGGCAACAAAGATATATGGAAATGCATCAGAAAGAAGAAACCAGCAAGGGAGGCAGTGGGGGTCCGTCCATTAGACTGCACGGGTACAAGTTGGTAGTAAAGCAACAAAGTGAATTCTTGGTATGGGTCTTCACCGCAGAAGATCTTGGACAGGTACCAAGAACTGAACAGATTTTGGGGGATCTGGAAGGGATTCTGAGGAACTGAATCACATGGAGGTGAAGAGATGAAGCTCTAAGGTTAACTGGAATGTATAGAAAGAAAGGCAAGATACAGAACATTTATTTATCATGTTACCACGTTCTGTAATGAAGCACAGGGTGTGGTAGGATGATAGGTCTGTCAGGAGGTTCCAGTTACATTGGCTAAAGGAACCTCTGTATTCAGAGGCATTGTATGTCCAAATGCCAGTTGCTGGAGAGCCGGGACAATTTTAGGAGAGGGCTACCAATTTCATATGTCCTCCATGTGGATTTCCTGTTGGCATTTGGCTACTGTGGGAAATGGGATGCTGGGTTAGATGGACTTCTAGTCTGACCCAGCAAGACTGCTCATACAATATTTTAAAATGAAACTAAGAGATAGTGAGTATCTTATCTAGTTTGTGACAGTAATAGAAGACAGCTTCTTAGTACCCCATGCATAATTGCCAAGAGTGAGTAATTCCTGTGGCTGTTGGATTTGCATAGCCAGCAAGATCCTAGCATTAAGCTCCTATAGCCATTACTTGGTCAAAATAGTTCAGACACGTTTCTGATGGCCATGTGTGGCTGAAATACAGACACGTTTCTGATGACCATGTGTGGCTGAAATACAGCAGTGTTTCTATGGAACAGCAGCTGCTGTTGCAGGACTGGAGACGGTCTCGCCTGTCTCATTCACTAGATTAGCTAGCATAGCTTGCAGTTCTGATTATGCTTAAATCTGAGTAGACCTGCTTAGGGTTGCTCCCACTGTGCAACTAATCCTGGATTTCAAAAACAGGTTAACTTGCTGAAGCTTAAGCCTTTAAATTTAGTCCTGAATTAACAAGGTTGAATGAGTTCTGCACAAGTACCAACTTACTTTTTATAGTGACTGAGTTAGTTATAAATAAAGATTATTCCAGAGGACAGCTGTGTTGGTCTGTAGTAGACCAGTTAAATGTGATTCAAGTAGCACCTTGGAGAACAACACCCTGAAGCACTTGTTGGTCTCTGAGGTGCTACTGGACTCAAATCTGACTTACAAATGAAAGATGGGTTTTAATACTGTTTGAGGTAATGCGGGGTGGGGGGGTGTTTTAAGAAGAAGAGGAGGAGGAGGAGGAGATTGGATTTATACCCTTCTCGGAGTCTCAGAGCAGCTTACAGTCTCCTTTCCCTTCCCCTCCCCACAACAGACACCCTGTGAGGTAGGTGAGGCTGAGTGAGCTCTGACTGAGAACTGCTCTTGAGAGAACAGCTTTGAGAGAACTGTGGCTTGGCTAAGGTCACACCAGCAGCTGCACGTGGAGGAGTGGGGAATCAAACCTGTCTGTCCCAGATTAGAGTCTGCACTCTTAACCACCACGCCAATGTTTAAGTGCTGTGACTTGCATTTCAGTGAGGCAAACGCTGACCTTTTTTTGTTTTCCCTTTCAGCAAAAGTATTTTGATTCTGGGGATTATAATATGGCGAAAGCAAAAATGAAGAACAAGCAGCTCCCTACCACAGCCCCAGACAAAACTGAAGTGACGGGTGACCACATTCCTACTCCACAGGACCTTCCACAGCGAAAACCGTCTCTCGTTGCTAGCAAACTGGCTGGCTGACTAGACTCTCAGAACTGCATGAATCTTCTCATTCCCTTAATCTTTCCTTAATAGTTATTTCTCACCTTTTTTGTTTTTGTTTCCACTAAGACATTGACTGATCGCTTTGCAGGTAGTGGTAGCCTGTGCTGCTATTGTAAGAGAGTCCTGTTAAGAATTAAGTTGAGTAGTCCTTGGATGAGTTGAGAACAATGCACTGATTAAAAAAAAAAAAGGACGTTTTGTTAGAACAATGTAAAGTTACTCTACTTGAAAATGTACATATTACCTATTTGCTAGCGTAGGGCTGGTTCCAGCAAGTGACATAATACCAAGTTTGACAATTTTTAATGTTTCTGCTTTCCTAAGTTCACTTTAATTACAGCATAGTATGTTTGTATTGAATACAATCCCCGTTTGTGTTCCTTCCTGTGTTTTGGTTTTGTACACTAGAGGTTTAGACCACAAGTTACTAGAAGGTAAAGCATGTATTAAAAAAAGAGAGAGATGGGGCTCTGACTTAATTTGCATATCTGCTCTCGAACTTGAATGGCCTTAAACCTACTTCAGCTTTAAGAATAGATTTTTTTACTTGGGCAATATTTGCCCATTTTGGTGTAATTCTTGTGAACCTAGTGCTTATTGACAACTATCTGTTGAAGCTGGTATTCCTTTGGATTCCGTAGCATAGAACACATTCTTGCAGTGAATGAAGTGTGCATGTGCATTGACTGAATTCACTATTGTGCCATTTCTGTAAATAAGATAGTTTTGCACAACTTTTGCAAATATCTGTTATCTCTACATTTTAGAAAATGTGCCAACTGGAAGCACAAGTAATTCTGTACCTTTGAAAGTCATAAACCTCTGAGTCAAAATTAACTTATTGAAAGTAACAGGCCTGCATATAGAAGATTTGGGGAACACCGAAAGCACTATGATGAACCGTTTTCACTAGTATGCCCATTTTTGTGTGTATCAACAATAATCTCCAGTCCTAAAATGGAAACATTTCAGCTAGTATATCTAAGCTGTAGTTTGGCTTACTTTAAGGGGAACTGAGTGAATTAAAGGCAAATATACTACATGAAGCCGCTTGTGGGTCACTGTGTAAGATATCCTAAGGCTAGCTATATTTGCTTTTCAGTATCTTTAAAAAAAACCAACCATACCTTTTAAGACTTGTATGAGCTACAGGATGCGTTGGAATGTGTAAGTGTGGGAAAATCTGTGTTTTTACTTAAAGTCTTTTGATATGTGACGTATACTTACTCAGAAGTAGTGTGGTCAGAAGGAATTCTAACTGCTTTCATTTGGATTGGGAGGTGAAGGTATTTTCAGGTGATACTTAAGAATTCCACATATATTTCAGAGACAAGCTAATTCCTTGATTCAGATGAAAACAATTAGAATTTTTTTGTTGATGTATATTATAAGTAGATACTCCAGGAGGGACTGTTCCTGAAAGTGGACCTGCTTCAGATTAATGCAGTTGGCTAAAACTCGTTCATAAAAACCAGTTAATGTCAAGGATGGTATTAAAAGAATTCCAGATAAATTTTACCAAGCATTTTCACCCCGAGGGGAGTTAGACTGTCTGTTGCTTCAGCTTCCAAGAGGAGCATATAGCAGGAGGGACCATATTAAAGATAGAAATCTTCCTCTAAGAAGCAAACTAGAATCAATATAGCTAATAATTACATTGTAGAGTAAGCTCTGATATTGTAACTAAAAGCTCTGATTTTCAAAGGTAGTGAGCACCACTATCTCCTATTGACTCCCCCCCCCCTCTTGAAAAGAAATCTGATCTTGTTTCTATACCGAAAGTAAACATAGTATGATGTATGGGTGATCAATTTAGATATACTGGAAATTAATGTTACTTGTGAAGGAGTTATTTTGTTGTTGGCCTGTCTTACAGAATGAAGATGCCTTTAAATTCTTGGACATAACCAACTTTTGTCCATTGGTAATAATTCAGTAGGCCTAATTCTTACTGTATTTCTCTGTAGCATTTAAACGTGACCCTCTTAATTGCAGTTGACAACCTCATCATTTACACTTCGCTTTTAAAAACAACACAGAGGGGAGAAGGATCCCATTTACTGGATAAGGAGCAAGGTGACAATAAATGGGTTTCCTTGGAAGGTCATCTAAAAAAACCATAACTTTATTTTTGTATGGGTAGTAAATAAATGCAAAATCTAGGCTTCATATGAATCGAACTACTGTGGCCTAAACCCAGTAATTTCTAACCACGGAAAATGACTCTGTTTTCTGGTTGCTGCTGCTGCACAGCAGTTGAATAGTCAGGTTGAATTAGTATGACATGTAGGGAGATATAAATAGCCATGTAAACCTAAACATTCCTCCCCCCCCCCCAGTTACAGTTTGCAATTTTGCGTTTTTGATTCCACTGTGCAAACTGTCCATTTCCCTTCACTGAATTAAAATGTTAAGGCTGTAAGGAAAACATAAATGGATTTGTAGGAATATATACTTACAGTACCAACTAGTCCAGTCCGACAGTGAATATGAATCTCTGGATGAACTTCAACAACTGAAGATAGTTTGGTCATCTGCACTGTTAAGGATTCAAGGAGGTGGAACAATAATCATTTCAGTAGAAGGATCAAACTGTGATGACTAACTTACAACTTTCAGCTTACTCCATCATGATAAAGCTATAAAGCTTGTGTACATACTGTATAAATGAGTTTTACCATTTGATAAATGACCTTTTTTCAGAGATCTATCTGCACTATAGTTGGGCAATCTCTCAGCATTATGCAGTGATTAGTAGTGCTTAAGTATGTCTATAATGAAGACAGTATCTAGTAGAGCCCCCCCAAACCTTCCCCATTAGTTACTGGTGGAGTAAATCACGTGATTCATAAGTATCCTTTCCCTTACTGCTATCCTACCCATTCATGACTCATACTTAAGAGGAGAGTGTTTGTGCAAAGGCCACAAAAGAACTGTTTGGTTTGCTATGTTGTCCCTTAATGCATTCCTGATGCTGAAGTGATGAAAATTTCAGTTGCTCCTTACCAACACATACTGTATAGTATGCATAATAAATCCATCTAATTAGTTTTCATTGCTCTGTAGAAGTTTGTCTGGTCTTCACTGTGGTTTTTCATAACTGCATTGCATCTCATCTCGTTTCCAGCTTAGTCTCTGCAGAACTTGCTTTGGACTTCTGATAACATAGCTGGGGCCTCTCATTTTCTAATATGTTTGACTACAGAACTAAAACGTACCTTACTGTAATTACCTTTATATATTTCAGTGCTTATTTTTCTAATGTATTAAAAGCTTATTGTTTTGAAACTTTAATTCCATAATAAGCTTCTTTCAATGCTTAAATGTATGGCAGTGATAACTGTTTAAACCTGCCTGGATCTTTCTGAGGCAGGACCATTACAAGCTTTTTGGTGTTCTGGGTGCTGCTGGCATTACCCATTTATTGGAGTCTTTGGTTCCCAGACAGAGATGGCTACATGCAATCTTGACTAGAAACACAGTGGGCCACAGTTCTTTGGGAGTAGAGCATAATGAACTTGTGTGGGAGATTGCGGCAACCGTCTGCAAAACCTGCAGGCTGCAGCTTCAGTTCAGAATGGCTGGTTCAACAGACTGTGCAGGTCTGCCTCGAAGCAGCTTGTGAGGCACCAAGCTGAATGCAATTGACAGCTAGGAGCTGCAGCCCAACAAGCTTATTGATGGATTGCTGTGTGTGGCTGGCAAGCTGCATTTGGCTTGGGAGACCACAACTTTTGCAGGCTTGCTTCAACCCGATATAACTTGGCTTCATAAAGCTGCCACTCTAACGGCAGGATGGACTAGTCCTATCTCTTGTCCTTCACTGAATATTCTTGAAAGCTGCTGGTACCAATACCTAAAGGCTCTGTTCTCTTGAATCACACCAGGAAATATGAATTATACAAGGAAAGGCTGGATTTTATTATTTTTTTGCATTACTCATAGCCCACCTTTCTCACTGAGACTCAAAGTGGATTACACAGCATAAAGTCAATACACTCAATAGGATGGGACATCCAATAAAGATTACAACAGGGTTAGAAGTGTGGAAATCTGAAACAGTACAAATTTCAATAGGACATGGAGAAATTACATAGTAGGATAACTTCAGGTAGGTAGCCATGTTGGTCTGAAGCAATAGAGCAAAGTTTTGAGTCCATTGGCACCTTTAAGATCCAACAAAGTTTAATTCTGGTATAAGCTTTCATGTGTGCGCAAACTATGTCAGATCTGAAGAAGTGCACATGCACATGAAAGCTTATACCCAGAATTAAACTTCGTTGGTCTTAAAGGTGCCCCACTGGACTCAAACTTAGCTTAATAAAGTTGTTTGACTGTTTGGTCCTTGCATCTATCAGACACCTTTATTAAGCTGTATGCTAATCTACCTATATGTATGGACTAGCAACTTCCATTTCAATGTATCTGAAGAAGTCTTGTTGCCATGGTATGGATCCAGGTGGCCAGATTGGCTGGGTCTAGGTATGGGGCCATCTTCCAGTCTAAATAAGTTGGAAGAAAGGTGTTTTTGCAGCTGCATTAACTTGCTTTTCCAGCAGTAAGGATGAATCCAGTATAACCCCAGAGTCAGCAGCGGTAAGATGAACCCCGTCACAGGTGGGGAGCACAATGGCCTCCAAGATGTCTGCCTTCCCATCCACCATTACCTCTGTCTTGCCAGGATTTACTTTCAGTTTTTTTTCTCTATCAGCTATTTAACTATGGATTCCCCAAACAGGTGGCAAGGTAGATGCAGCCAGGCCTGTTAAGAGCATCTTGGAGAGCCTTGCATGGCACACAGTCAGCCAACTGAGTAACAGCTTTATGTTCCAGTTTTGGATGACTTCAGGGTTAGAGCGGTGCAGGAGAGAAGCTGAACATTTATTAGCTGTAGTAACATGAGGACACTTGCTTTATGGAAGGAATAATACTGCAATGTCATGGCTATCCCCTTTGTGCCTGACTGGTGAGTTTTCAGAGGCATCCAGTTTGCCCTGTCATAAATGACACTGTGTTCTGACTCAGCAGGGGGTTCTTGCATTAACCCTAGCTGCCTAAACTTAACAGATCAAATCAACACTGCCTGTGGTGGGACTCTGCTTAATCAATGGATAGGCATATGAGTACTGTAAGTAGATACAGTTACATTGCATTTATGCTTCTTAAATACAGGTACAGAACAAGTTTCTATAATGGGATGAATGAGCTTATCACACATAGAGGCTTTATTGTTAATTCGCTAAAAAGCTTAAGGCACTTAAAATACAAAAGGTAAGTTGTAGGTGCTGAATCCCATTTATTACATTAGGTCTTCCATTCCAACAAAAGCCCAGAGGGGGGCTGTTTCGGCACTTCAAAAGGCATGGAGGGGGGAAACAAGATTGTCTCTTGCCACTGCAGGCTCGATCAGGTCCTCAAGGCAATTTATAAATGGCGAAATACTGCTGTAATGTGGTGGCTACAGGTTGGCCCTGTGGCCACCATCACATCTAGATTGGCCCATATAAGGCCATCTAAGATTTATGCTTTTTGCAGAACAATTCTAGCAACTGCAGTAGCGTGTAGCTGTGTTTAAAACAGACATTATATCTCAAGGTGTTTTATGGTTCTGAAAAGATGATGCTTCTAAAGTAATATTTATAAGAGTAATTATACCAGACTATGGATGCTTCTGGGAAGTTGCCAAATGGTGCCTGCCATATCTTGGAGCTGTTACACAAGTGGACTATCACCCCACCAACGTTTATGCCTTCCCTAAAAATAAGCTTAGGGTTGCCCTATATCTAGACAGCAGAATGAAGTAGTACAATAGATAGTATCACTTCAGACAGTTTTTTTAAGTTACCCCACTTAATTTTTAATCCCTTGGAATAAAAATGATAGAAACCCATCAGTCATAGTTAGATGGAATGGAATGAAAATATAGTGAAATAGCCAGAACTGATTAAAATATAAAAAGCAAACCTTAAATCTAAATGAGAAAGCAATAATTAACACAGGGTCTTCAACCTTTTTGAACCTGCAGGTGTCTTTAGCATTCTGACACAGCTGCCAGAAAGTGACTGCCACAGAAGTTGTAGCCAGCTACAAAATGGCTGCTGCAGGTTACCTTCAGTCATACAGTGAAGATCTTTGTGCTGGCGTGGTAGCTGCTACCAAACCACAATGATTAAAAATCTGCACAGCCAGTCAGTAGCCTTGCTGGGCAAAAGCCCCATCTGGCTTTGCCCACTTTCTAAAAAAACAGCAGATGCCAGAAAAGGTGTCAGTGGGTGATGTGGGTACTGAGTTGGGGTCCTCTGCTGTAATGTAGAAAACCTATACTATTTGGGGAAAACAGTGTGAACACTGTCTGTGCCCTCGCTCTCATTTCCCTTCCTCTTGAGCTGGAACCTCTCTTCAGTAGTCTCTAACAAATCCTTATGAAGTTCTGGAATAAGATTTTTATTCTGGGGGCAAGGAACTTCCCTTGAGATGGATATGGTCGCCATCTTCCGTAACACACACTTTTGGGCAGAGGGATGAATGGGCAACTCATTTTAAGTATTTTCCAAGCTCTTGCCACTTAATTGGTCCCAGTTTCCTAGAGTTGGCAAGGCTGTTGTCACTTGTGTGGCTTCCAGCAAAAAGCATGGAGCTTTATGACAGCTTCCATAAAACTATGGTACACTTTATTGCAGGATATTAGGGGACAATACACAAGGACACATCCTATATTGGAATGTACTCTGGAAAAGTTGTTGTAACTAACCTTCATGTAGACTCCATGCTGGCTTGACTCAACCTTCCTTCTGTGGGAATACATTACGAAAAGGGCACTGCCCAGATCCAGAATGGATGAAGCACCTAGCTAGTGTTAGGCACCCCAGGAGGAAGTTATTGCTGGGCTTTAGAAAGAAAATGAGAGGTCTCGAAGTGGTATATATGTCTTCCAAATAAATAAGCTATTTTTTTAACTCTATGAGCTGCCTAAAGCAGATTTCTGGAGAGGTGACATATGAATTTTCCAAATAAGTATTGCTGACCCACCGCTTCGCTGACATGGGGATCCAGGGGCTTGCCTTGCAATGGCTTGCCTCCTTTCTCCAGGGTCGGGGACAAAGGGTGGTGCTAGGGAACCAGCAGTCCAGGAGACACCCGCTGGAGTGTGGTGTGCCTCAAGAGGCAGTGCTGTCCCCAATGTTATTTAACATCTACATGCACCCCCTTGCCCAGATTGCCCGGAGGCATGGGCTACGGTGCCATCAGTACGCTGATGACACCCAGCTCTACCTGATGTTGGGCGGCCAGTCAGACTCCAGACCGGAAAATCTGGACCTGGCATTGCAAGCCGTGGCTGGTTGGCTCAAACTGAGCTGGCTGAAGCTGAACCCGGCGAAGACAGAGGTCCTGTGCCTGAGTCAGGGCAGTTCGGGGGTAGGGATCCCACTCCCGGCCTTTGGTAGGGCACCATTGGTGCCAGCGCCGGAGGTTAGGAGTCCGGGAGTGCTCCTGGATACCTCCTTAACAATGGAGGCTCAGGTAGCAGCCACTGCTAAGTTGGCCTTTTACCATCTTTGGCTGAATTGGCAGCTGGTTCCCTTCCTCGGCCGCGATGACCTGGCTACAATGATCCATGCGATGGTCACCTTGAGACTAGACTACTGTGACGCTCTTTACATGAGGCTACCCTTGTTGCAAATCCGGAAGCTGCAGCTAGTGCTGAATGCCGCAGCCAGGCTTCTGATGGGCCTACCTAAATGGGAGCACATCCAGCCTGCGCTGAAGGCACTGCACTGGCTGCCAAGAGCATACCGAATCCGCTTCAAGGTGCTGGTACTTACCTTTAAAGCCCTATATGGCCATGGTCTGACATACCTGAGGGACCACCTTTCCCCATATATACCTGAGAGAGCACTACGGTCAGGGTCACAACCATCCCAGGCTCTAAGGACACCAGGCTCACTGCCACCAGGGCCAGGGCCTTTTCAGTGGCGGCTCCATACTGGTGGAATGAGCTCCCAGAAGAGATCAGGGCCCTGTGGGATCTTTTACAGTTCCGCAGGGCCTGCAAGACAGAGCTCTTCCCCCAGGCTTTCAATTAGGAGCTGCCATACCACTACCACCAACATCTGTGATTATGGGTTGGCCTGGCCTGGAGACTGAGCCACACCATTGCGTGAAGCTGAAAGATCACTGATTTATAAACAATTGCTTGTATAGTATATGGTATGCCATCTTAATTTTTGAAGGACGATTACTATCACTAGCACTTTGATTATTTGATTGTTAAATTTTTAAAATGTTTTAACTTTTGTATATGGTTTTATGGTACTGGGTACTGATAAATGTAAGCCGCCCTGCGCCTGTTCGCGGGGAGGGCGGGGTATAAATAGAAATAATAATAATAATAATAAGCTTAACTTTCTACTGATGATGCACGAAAAGGCTGTTCACCATCTCATACATTCATAGAAAGAAAAACGCAAACCCAGAAGTCCAATGGCAAAGTCCAACAAAAATGCTGCTGGACTGCTTGCTGCAACAGACTAACAAGAGCTATCCCATATTATATTGAAGGGGCACTCTTTATACTGGGTTGCCAGTGTCCAGGTGGTAGCTAGAGAACTGGAATTACAACTGTTCTCCATGTTACAGAGATCAGTTCCCCTGGAGAAAATAACTCCTTTGGAAGGTGGACTCTATGGCACTGTACCCCACTGAAGTGCCCCACTCCCTCAGATTTCCAGGAATTTCCCAACCCAGGGATGGCAACTGTATATATTAAAGAAAAAGTTTTGTTTCATGTTGAATTCTCCTCCCTGTAAAATGCACTAAATAGAAACAGTACATAACCACCCCTCTGGATAGTATTATATTGAAGAGGGGGAAAGTTAACTCTCTTGTTTCCTGTTGAATTACAATTTAAAAAGCACTGAATAGGAATAGGGCACTGTTCCAAGAAACTTTCAGGCTCTTAGTCCTTTAGTAGTAGAACAAAATCCAAGCCCAGGTATAGGGCTGCCAGGTTTCCCCTGGCCACCTGTGGGGGATGGTGAGTAGGCTTGCCAGATCCAGAAGAAGAAGAGATTGGATTTATACCCCGCCCTTCACTTGGAGTCTCAGAGCGGCTTACAAACTCCTTTCCCTTCCCTTCCCCACAACAGACACCCTGTGAGGTAGGTGGGGCTGAGAGAACTCTGACACAAACTGCTCTTTTTCAAGGACAGGTGTGCCAGAGCTTGTGACTGACCCAAGGTCACATCAGCAGGGGCAAGTGGAGGAGTGGATAATCAAACCCGGTTCTCCCAGATTAGAGTCTGCACACTTAACCACTACACCAAACTGGCTCCAGGTTGGGAAACCCCGGGAGATCTGGGAGTGGAGCTTGGGGAAGGCAGGGACCTCAGTGGGGTGCAATGCTATATAGAGTCCACCCTCCAAAGCATCCATGTTCTCCTTGGGAACTGATCTCTGTAGTTTGGAGATGAGCTGTAATTCTAGGGACCTCCAGGTCCCATCTGGAGGCTGGCATCCCTACAGGCAGCTAAAAGACCAAGAAATTTTCCTGAGTCAATCCTCACTCTGGGTCAGATGCAAAAAAACAAGCCACTGGCACGAACTTCCTAAGAAGCGCCCATAAGGGATCAGGCTGCAAAACAGAAATGAGGGGTGGGTTTACTCTGAGTAAAGGAGCGAAAGAAAGGAAGAAAGAAACTTGCCAAACAGCTCCTTTCCCCCAACCCTTTCCTTACAAGCCCCTCCACCCACCCACCCAGGTTCCTTCTTCGCCTCTCTGGGCTTCCTCCCCTTTCCCCGACACTTTGCACCCGCAGCCGGTGGGAGGCAGAGCGCGCTCAGGAGTCCAAGGACGCCACGCTGCCGCCTCCACGGCCGCCTGCATCCCCGCGCCGGCTCTGGTACCCACAATGCATGAAGAGCCGCCGCAGCAGAAGGAGGGGGCCTGCCTAGTGGATTCATCATCCCCATCCTCCGCCGCCGCGCTTCCCAGGTAGCAACATGGCGAACGCAGCCTGGTCGGCCTGAGGCGAAACAGCAGCAGCAGCACCGCCGCCGCCTCAGCCACCTCTTTCCCCCTCAAGACTCCGGCTTCCGAAGCAACCCCGCCCTGCCCAACCCCGCCTCTGGCCTCCTTCAGCGGAGACCGAGGAGAGCCGCGGCCGGCCGGCCGGCAGCTGCAACAGCGGCCGCTCCGCGATGGCAGCCTGCGAGCTTTACACCAAGGTGAGGGGAAGATGAGGCGCGGCGGCGGGGCTAGGCCCGGGCTGAGAAGGGAACGCGGCCAGGCCCGGGCTGAGGCGCCGTTGGACTGGGGCAGTTAATGGCGGTTGGAGGGCGCCTGGCAAGGAGGGAGGGGTGGTTGCTAAGGAGGGGGGAAGGTTGGCGGCGCCCGGTGAGGGAGGCCGGGCCAGGCCTCGGGCGATGAGGGGTTTTTAGTGGGGGTTGAGGGAGAAGCCCGTGTGTGGGGCAGGGAGAGGCGGGCTGCGCTTCTTCCCGTCCGCCTGAGGTCAAGCGCTGGCGCGAAAGAGAGGCTTGTGCCTTTAGACATCTTCAAGGTGGACGCCCGTGTTGTTTGGCTCCTTAATGAAAACCCCATGAAGGGTCGCCCAGGTCGGCTGCGCTTGACACGCACGCAGTGGTGGGCCTGGAATCATCCTCCTGAGTCGGAAACAAAAATCCAGCCCAGAAGCACCTGACAAGACCCACCCGAAATTCCCAGGGGGGTTTGGGAGTCAAGGAGGGAGCTGTGGTAAATTTTAATTTTGTCAGTGTTCTGCAGCAACAGACAGTAGACTGTCGCTGCAAAATATTTACAGCATAAAATTTGAAAAAAGTAGAAAACGTCGCCTATCTTCTAAAAAAGATCTCCCGTTACATTGGCCTCCTCTTGTTTTCTCTGTGGCTGCAAATGGGCCTGGTGGCACCTTTTTGAAAAGACAGCAATGGGGTCTGTGTCCCGGTCTCAGCTTTCCTGAGTCAGAGCTCAGTTCATCACACCAAAGCTGATGCAGAGGTTAAAATGTTGCCTGTATTTTTTTCAAAAGGACCTCCTGTTCAATTTCCCTCCTCCTGTTTTCCAGCCCTCATCCGATAACACTCCCATGCATCGCATGAAGCCAGCGCTCTGACTCACAAAAGCTGATGCAGGGAATAAAGTGTTTGTTGGTCTTTCAGACTGCAAAAAGGTGTTGCAAAAAATGAAACCCAAAGTCCGGTGGCACCTTAAAGATTAACAACGCTTCTGGCCATATGACTTTCTGTGAGTCACAACTCACTTCAGGTAGACAGGTGAAGGAAAATTATACTGAGGATTCTTCTTATGGGGAAGGTGGGGGAGGGAGGTTCGAGGCAGAGATGCTGTTGTTTACTGCTCCTCCTGTTTTCTAGCCCTCAATGAGATAACCTTCCCATGCATCTCATGAAGCTAGCTCTCACTCAGGAAAGCTGATGCGGGAATAAAATGTTGCAAGTCTTCAAGGAGCCACTGTTTAATATTCCTCCTCCTGTTTTTCCAGCCCTTCTTCCCTGTCTCTGTTATGGGAGGGGGGCAGTTTTGAGGCTTCCATTAAAGAGCTAGCCCCAGCAGTGTGACTTTGCAGCATCCAGGGAATGCCAGCCACTTGTCATCTCCTTAGTGGAATGTATTCTAACAGCATCTTTCTGATGGCATCTCATTTCCTATTTTATTTGGGGGGTGGGCTGAAAGTATAAGGGAGGAAGGAAGTTCATTGGGCTATATTTAAACTTTGGGGACCAGTTTGTAAACCTATGTTCTTGTTTCACATCCTCTCCTGTAGCTGCCCCCATGCATGATGGGAGCAATAAAGCATTTTGTGGCACCTTAAAAAAATAAACTGATTTATTGTGGAGGGGAACTAAAATCCACAGATTGCAGAGAGTGTTATCTTTGTAGCTCATTCTTGACGGGTTCATGATAATCCTTGTTATGTGTTTTTAAAAAAGTATCTCTGGCTTCATTGTAATCATTTGGCATGGCATGTATTCTGCATGTTAATGAAAGGATTTGATTGAGAAGGAATACAGATTGCCAGCCACAGTGTCTTTTTTGTTGTTGTTTGTTTACGAAGGATGCCCAGCTGGTACTGGACAGTGAGGCTATACTAAGAGAGTGAAGAGCCCGAGATGCCAATGAGTTGTGTCTCACATCTTCCTTGGAAGCTTCCTTCTTACTCAGTTAGGATGTGTTGGGGTGACTGCTAAAAAAGAAAAGTCTGCTTGGAGTGCTCATGAGAACATACAGTGCCAGAGTTCCCAAGCAGTCTTTAGCTGTGGCTGCAGGTGTGGCCACAGAATGTCCACAGAGCACAGATGTAGGCACACCAATTTCAAGGTGGTTGTAGTTTGGAAAGTTGAGTATTTACAATGGCTTGAAGCAGCAAGACCAAAAGAGGAATAAGAGTACCCTCACCCCCCCCTGTTAAATATTGTGCCCTCTTCTTTTACTCTATGTAAAATGATGAAGCAAATTGTATGGAGCAAAAGGAAAAGGACGTTTTAGGCCCCATCAGATGGTTCTATTTTAGATATGGTTCCTGTGAGAGATCACAAGGCTTGAACCCTGTGGGTCTTCAGGGTGGATGCACACAAGTAACTAGACTGTGGTTTATTATAAAAGATAAAGTTTATTACAGAATCAATCAATTAGGCAAGTTTATTAAACAGCCAATACGTTATTCAAAAACCATGCAGCAAGAAAACAAGAAAGACTAGATCGTCTTAACACTTTCAGAGCGTGCATTAGACAACGCAAACCTTAAGTGCCAAAGTCATAGGCCAAAGCTCAGAAATTCTCTGTTCCCAATTGCAATTCAGGCAGAACATAGCTTAGGCCTTCAGTCCATCAGGGTCTCAGCTAGTCCTCTTTTCTTTGGGCCTTAGCTGAATTATTGTTTTTGGCCCAGCAACATCAGGTGAGGGTAACATCCAATCAGGACACGCTCTTCGAAGAAGCCTCTAGAAGATTATCTAGTGATCACCCCAGCTCTCCTCCCCCCATCATACGGGCAGCAAGTTCTCATGAGAAGCTAATCATGCCACCTTCATCTCTGGGCTTGAAGATAAAACAACTGTACAGGCCATGAGACCAATTAGCAACACCTGCAGGATGAACTAGGCTCGTTACTATTCACATTAACCCTTGGGAGGAGGCCAGGGGAGCTTTGCCTCACAGTTCCATTTGATGGTTCCATTTGAGAACTCAGGATAGAGCAAACTCACATGCAAACATACACACATACAACTTTTCAGCGTGAAGGCTTGAAAAATGAAGCCATCGTCTGACCACAGAGTTATGGCTATATGTGCTTCTAGAATTAATCTGCAGGTTGGCTATTGCTGTTTGTGTTATATGATCTCACAGGGCTCTGTGGATCCTAAAAGGGACTGGAGCATGAAGAATACTAGATTCTCAACCTCTTTCTCCCCCCCCCCCCCAAATTACTATACATTTAGATCTCTGATTCTGTCAATGTACTCTGCTTCATCTTCTGTTCCTAGAATAAAGGTGACCTGGCTAAATAGTCTCTATCACCCAAGTCCTATTGCACACAATGATTCATTTATCTTATCAGCTCTTCTGTCTAGTGAAGAATCTGTGGCATTTGCCAGTTTGTTTGCTTTTTTTTCTTACAAACCAGTTTGTCTTGTAGAACATCTATTGAACATGTCTTAAATTCTCTTGTTTCTCACTCTGGTAGTATTCAGCTTGAGTTCATATAGCTTGTAATACCAAAACTTTTTTTTTATACCATTGCCTCTTTTAAATTGTTTTATGTTATTTTATGTTTACTTTTTAGCTTTGGCTGAGGGCCAGCCTAAATTAGAAGTTGGAGATCTGTTGACTGGTTCTCCTGTCTCTTTAAACTTATATTACATAGTAGCTGTGAGAAGGCCTGTACTGGAGCAGGGCCACAGTGGTGTTTTTTTATGTGGGGTAGGATAACTCTTCCCTATGCCTTTGTTGTTTTCCTGGTGTTTTTCTTACTGGGTAAATGGCATCAGTAGACAGACAGTTTACATCGGGAAAATGGCACAAGTCCCTGCACCACAGTCCCAGCCCAGTTGGAACATAAGAACATATGAGAAGCCATGTTGGATCAGGCCAGTGGCTCATCCAGTCCAACACTCTGTGTTACACAGTGGCCAAAATCCAGTTGCCCATCCAGAGAAATGAGACATCTGGTCTTGGAACACCAGGGTCTTGTTTGGTTGTAGGTACTGCTTTGGTGGGAAAGTAACATTGTTCTGTGCGCTTCAGTATTTAATCATGCTGGCCACATGACCACAGAAAAAGTCTTTGGACAGCACTGGCTCTTTGGCTTGGAAACAGATGAGCACCGCCCCCTAGAGTTGGAAACCTTTACCTTTTAAGAATTGGGGGAGGGGCATTCTGCCTTTTACTAATTATTTCATTGAACTACCAGTGCTGATTCTGGACATATATTAAGTAGTGTTTGATTTGTATCTAGGGCATATGGGGGAGACAAAGTAGTTGGTAATAACAGTCCACCAGAAAGGCAAATAAAAGAAAAATCATTGGCGTGTAAACAGAATAGTCTTACATGTATATCTAAAGATTACAAGGGAAGGCGCTTTCCTCACTTTCTTTGGTAGGCTGTTCGGTAAAGTTGGAGAGCAGCAACTGAGGGGGTTCACACATTCTTAGGGGATGGAATCAGCAGTAGGAACTGACTAGAGAAGCACAGTTAGCTCACGACCTCATATAGCTTTTGATAGCCTTGTTTGCGTATGCTTGCTAACTGTTGCTTTCCTGATCATGACTCTTAAGAGAAGTTTTCTTTGTCTTTTGCTGAACTGCTGGAGCAAGAAATTGTCACATTAGTGCTGGTCAGTTCATAGGGAATAATCCTGAACAGGTCTCTGTGGAAGCAACTCCCACATTATTTAGTGGGGCTTTCTCCCAGGGAAGTGCCCTTAGGATTGCAGCCACAGGATAATGCAAAGAGGCTTGACTGTCTTATACCTTCTTCTCAAAATGAGGGCTACACAAATTCACAGAGACTCATAACAACTAAAGGCTACAAAAAAGTCCATTAGATGAGAACAAAGATGAATGACTTTGGTTTGGAAAGGCAAAAGTGGGTTTGTGTGTCATTCTTCAAGATCTAGCATCTTGGTGGTCAGTTCGTTTAGGGCACTCAGATGGATGCACTAGGGACATAAATTTCACGTAATAAAACAAT